TACTCTTTTGAATTATAGATGATTTAATTAATTATTATAATAATTAAGTTATGTGAATATAAATATTGAAATTGATCTAAATTAAACAGTATTCAAAATTTAGGCATTGATATTTTTATTTTTGTAGCAATTCCATCCATATCTCTTTTAAATATACCTGGTTTAATGTCTCTACTTTCTTTACCAATAGAAAAACAAGGCTTAGTAATGTAATTTGATTTAATTTATACTCCAATTGATCCCCTTAATCTTTAGTAATATAGAATACTTAGTATAATATGTTTGATTTTTCTCAACCGATTTGATTGGTCTCATCTTTTCTCCTTTTGTGAATCCAATACTAGGATAGCTTTCATGGGTTATATCCAATGATTTGTTTATATCATAAGCTCCTGGACCAATTAAATCAGGTGTTGAACCTTGAAATGATTTAGAAATAGGTCTTTTTGGAACTACTGTATATTAAGGACCTGTTTTTTTAATGAGATTATCATATTGATCAGGACCAGGTACTTAATTTTTATAATCTGTTTTGAAACGTTAGGCAAGACCAATTTTTACAATAGTTGAATTCATTTTTCTAAAATCATTAGCTTTATGTGGTTCAAACTAAAAAGTATTAAATGAAAATAAATACATCTGTATCTTGCCTTGTATAATAATCATACTATGTCTAATTAAGTAAATTTCTTTTTGCTGTTCCTATTTTGACAGTTGCATTTTTAGATAATAACTCACTTATATAATTAGAAGAATTATAACAGGGTCCTGGACTACTTTTACCTTTTTGAAGCAATTTTTTATCTCGATAAATGGATTATGCTTAATATCTGGTGGATGATCCAAAACCATAAGCTGGTTAAGTCTATTTCATTGATTCTAACACTAGAAATAGATAATTTAATAGATTTACTTTTTCCCATAGATGAATAACGCTTGTGATTTTCAAATTCAATAAGATCATTTGGAGTGTATAATTTAGAATTACTCATGATTAAAAAATTAACATTTATAATTGAAGAGAATAATAAATATTGTGAATGATTTATCCAGGATTATCTGTTGTTGATTATCAATTATAATAATATGAATGTATAATGATAACACATATTTATTATAGAATATCCATTATATTAGAATGCTTATGATTTTAATATATATCCTCAATATCATTACACTCCATCAATCAAGAATTATGAATCTGAATAAAAGGAAGAATTTAATAAGAAGAACAAGAATAGAAAAATTAAGTATATATAATATAGATAAGAAAAATTAGAAATAATTAGCCAAAGGAATTATTACCAAAAATTAAAGAATAGATTGAAGAACCTATAGAATAGAATGAGGAGATGTATATATTTTATCATCATTTTATTAGTCTTTAATAAATAATACAACCTTAATATTAAATTGTTGATATTTAATAAGGAGCTCTTCTTCCTAAATTGTAATCTCATTTAACAACAGAGGGACATATAATTAACTCAAAATAAATTATTAAATCAACCAAAATAACTAAAAAATAAAAAAAAGAGAATGTTAATACAGGACATTGGTCTACCTTTGAACATACAACTTATGTTAATTTCTTATCACAATATGAAAATATTATGAACTCATCTATGATGAAAAAGACTTCAAAAATATTTAAATAAATGAGTGAATTAATAGGTACTCGTACACCCAGTCAATGCAGAAGTCATCATTAGAAATTTAATCCTTATGCATTAAGGGGAGATAATGGAAAAAGATTGCCAAGATCTCAAAGAAGTAGAGCAGGCAGAAAGAAGAAAATACTATTCAATAACCTTCTTTAAACAAGTATATATAATATCTAATTATTATAGATCAATTAATAGATAATGATTTACATGGTTATATGTATGAAAAATAAAATTACTATAATCCATTCATAATTGATTATTAATTTAATGAAAATGAAATTTTTATTAAGAATTAAAATTAATTAATTCAAACTTAAATTTAATATGAAGATTATTTAAAACTTCGATAGGATTATCATAATTATTTAGAATATTGAATTTTATATGCATATATATCTATATCATTATTATTACCTATTTAAATAAAGTCATATTTATTCAGATAAAAGTAGATCAAAATTATTATAATTAAGTATATCAAAATATCAATTTAAACAAATTTTTAATCTTATTTATGATACCTTTAAGAATATTGGTATTATATTCATTAAGAAATTATTATTATTTATAATATTATTAAATATTATAAAGAATCAATTATTCTATGTAGAATAAACACTTTATGAGATACATTTAAACTAATTATCTATAAAGTCAAATTTAAATAACATAAATTTTAATAATTAATTGAAATATTTATGTAATAAAAAGTCAAGTATGATTCTTATATTTACTATGGAATAATATATTTATAAAATATAATAAAATCTACAATATTTGATGCATTAAATAATAATTCTATAAGAATAATTATCTAAATATATAAATCATCAAATTTGTGTAAAAAATATCTTAATATAAATGAAATTCGTATTTTATTTGTGTTTAATTTTAGTAGTATGCAAAGGAGGTAAAGTTAATAAGAAAGCAAATGTTTTAATTGATGATATAGTTAAGGGCATGAGTTTAGCAGAAAAAATAGGCTAAACAACTCAAGTTGATTTTGTATATTTGAATGATGCTTAAGGAAAAACTTAATATGAAAAGATCAAGGAATGGAATCTTGGTTCTTTGTTAGTGGGAGGAAATGGATGTCCTGATAATGATGGTAATATTTCTTCATCAGGAACTTGTATGAATGCCAACAATTAATTATGGAAAAAAGTTGCAGACCTAGCATTAGCTTAAGGAATTTCTGTTTAAGTAGATATAAGTGAATTAGAATAAGAAACAGTGATCATAAAACCATTACTTGGTACAGATGCTATACGTGGTAATCAACATTCTGTTGGAGAAATACTATTTCCACATAATATTGGTTTGGCAGCATCAAACAATGTTGAAAACTTTAGAAATTCAGCAAAATGGATGAGAGATAGTGTGATTGAGACTGGATTTAATTTTGTATTTACACCAACAGTTGCTGTATCACATAATCCATAATGGGGTAGATTCTATGAAACTTTGGGTGAAAATACAGAAAAAGTATAATAATATTCCAAAGCATTCATTGAAGAAGCCTAAAATATTCAAAATGACAAAATACTAGGAGTTCTAACTTCAGTAAAACATTTTATAGGAGATGGAGCTACTATAAATGGATATGAAGAAGGAGATTCTATTGTAGATGAACAATTTATGGATGTCTTTATTGAAGATAATATAAAAGGATATAAAGGAGCTGTTGAAGCATAGACAGGTAATGTAATGGTCAGTTATGATGCAATTAATGGTGTGGCTATGAGTGTACATCCATTTGTTAATTCAATATTGAAAGCATCAACAGAGGATGGAGGTTTAGGATTTGAAGGATTTGTTATTAGTGATTATAATTCAGTTATCAAGACAGCTTTAATTGATTTACCAAGATAGTCTTAAAAAATGCCATTGGATAAAGCATATGCTGATTCATTTAATGTAGGAGTTGATATGTAAATGATTTCTGATAAGGTTGAAGATTATTAAGAAATGATTACTTTATTAGTGAATGAAACTGATCCATAAAAACCAAATATAAATATGACAAGGTTAGATGATGCAGTTAAGAGAATATTAACAATCAAAGATAAAATGGGATTAATTTAATATAGTGAGACTATTATGAAGAAGTATGATTTATAAGAAAAGAAGAAAATTGAAATAGTCAAGGATAAAGAATAAGAATATCAAGATGCTTTATAAGCAGCTCTTTAATCATTAGTTTTATTGAAAAATCAAGGAAATACACTTCCTATTAACAAAAATTCAATTGAGCATGTTATTTTATTAGGTGATAGATATATCCCAGTTGGAAATGGATAATTTAAATTATTTTAAGATTATGATAATATTGGTGCTTAAAATGGTGGGTGGACAATTAGATGGTAAGGTTATAATGGTAATGATTATTGGACTGGAGATTTGAAGAATTAATCAAAAGCTTCATCAATCTTAGATGCTATTAAAGAAAGATTCTAAGAAGCCTAAATTTATTATCCAAAATATTCCAATCCTACTAATTTAGATGCTATACTTTAAGATAGAAATACCTTTAGAAACTAATTAATTGCAAATTAAGATTAATTCTCATAAGCAAATACTATAGTCATTCATGTATTAGCAGAAAATCCATATGCTGAATATATGGGTGATGTTAATTGTTAATATTGTTAAACTAAAGATAAAATAGGTTGTTTATACAATAATCATGATAATGTTTATCTAACAGAATCATAAGCTACAAGATTAGAAATCAAAACAGGAGCATATGAAAAATAAGTATTAATATATATAAAATACTTAGTTAATTAACAATGTCCTTAAAGGTTTAAGTAAAGTTGTTACTGTCTTAATCAGTGGCAGACCAATGTTAATAGATGATCCATTATCTATTAGTAATGCTTTTATAGCAGCATGGCTACCAGGAACAAGTGGTGGTGAGGCTATAGTAAAGTCTATTTTTGGTGAATATGGATTTGGAGGACCAGATAAACTATTTAATAAATTACCATCTCCTTGGATTTCTACTTTAGATTCAATTAAGGATTATCCAAAATATGATTCTGATACTGTACCTAAAATTGAAGATCCAAAATTTGAAACTGAATTTGGACTAGAAACAGATATAATCAATTATCCAATTCTAGAATGAAAAACATAATATATATATATTAATTATTCATTAGTATATTTAATATAATTCAATATACGTGATTGTTAATGATTTTGAAAAGAATCTGCTCTTTTAAAATATTGAAGTGATCATTATATTCAATTTGTATTATTATATTTTTTTAAATTCTATCATATTATAAAATACTTTGAGATTTAGATTTGCAAAAATATTTTTTTACAATGAATATTTAAAACTTTTAGGAGTTCTTTCCTAATGATTATATACATCTTCTCTTAGCAGCTTTTAGTGCAGAAGAAACAGGAACTAAAGGGGGATAATGTCCTTTAAAAATATCAGATGATGTAAAGTTTAAATAAGAAACTGATATCTATAAATTTATGAAATAAGAGAAAGAAATAGATATGAATGAACATTTAGAATTTTGGAAAATATCTGAGATTTTTGATGATGCAGAATCTGGATATTTAGGTTTATTATTAGAAAATAAAGAAAAAAGATAATTAGTATTATCACATAGATCAACTAATTTCCAATTATCTTTCTGTAGCAATCTGTTTAAATAATCAGGTGTTTAATGTGATATTATGTCAGTTGTTATAGGTGTTTTTTCAACTCATTAAGCATAAGCATATGAGGCTACTTAATAAGCAGTATAGAAGGCTAGAGATTTGAAATATTCTCTATCATTTTGTGGTCATTCTTTAGGAGCATGGTTAGCAGAATTAAGTGTTTATTATTGTCACTAATTAATTAATCCACCTTTTCCAAATGTAAAAGCAGTGACCTTTGATGGACCAGGCAGTTTTGAAATGATGTAGTAAATGGATTAGCAAACTATAAAAGGATAAAGCTAGTTATTTTATCCAGAATAATTTGATATAGTATTTTATTTATCTACCCCAAATATGGTTAATTGTATGAATTCTCATATTGGGATTGGGTATAGATTAAACTAAGAAAATTTTGCTTCAATTTAACTTCCCAGGTTTATCAACAGAGTTACTGGAGCATTTTAGACCGTTGTAGGTGCTCTAGAGGCAACAATAGGACATGAGCTTAAATTTATTATACCAATATTTGATTCCAAAACTGGAAAACCAAAACTGGAGCATTATTCAAGAATTATAAAATGGCCATCAATAAAATATAAAAACTACTCATAAGAAAGTAAGATAAATTTGGATAAAATACTTTTGTTGATATCACCTATTTTTTCATAATTCTTTTTAATAAAAATAATTATGAAAATTTTGGTTAATTTTGCTAATTATATAACATCTTGTTCAGTTTTAGTTGGAGTAACAGAATTTTTACGTGGAAATATTAATTTTTATCAATTTTATAATGTTCATGAAATTTTAAATAAAACAAATTAATATTAACCTAAAGTAAAAAATTAGGAAGAATTTGATTTAAAAATAAAGGGCGGCTATTATATGAATAATCCAAATGAATATGAAAGAAACACATGCAATTCTAAATAAATTGATCAAATTGATGAACATCTTATTAATATAAAGATAAATACTTAAAGGATTGATAATTCATCATGTAAAAAAATATTTAAATAAATTTTAATTTAGATTTCAAATACTTATGAATATAAGAAGAGAGGTTTTTAATCATGCATTACAATTAAGCACTAATTTAGAGATTAAATAAATATTAATATTTTAAGAGATCAAATAAGAATGATAATAAGAGATTATTAGGAAGATTTTGAACAATTTTTGAATGAAAATCCATACTTTGATAATAAAAAAATTGCCTGTTTTTTCAATAGGTTATTTTTATATGATGAAAATTATGTTTAGAGAAAAGAATTAGAATAGATTGAAAAAGCATTCTCTTAATCAAATGTTGTTGTCATAACTGGACCTTCACAATTTGGAAAAACTACATTAGCTTATTAATATGCAAAAAAACTTAAAGACTCAATCAATGCCATAGTATTACCATTTAATGCTGAAAATATTTCAACATTGTATTCGGATCTTCAATATTATCATCATCATTTATATCAAATACCCAATTAAACCTTTACATTTGAATATTTATAGTAAGATTTATTGGCTAAAATTTAAAATACCAATTAATAATTAATTACATTTGAATTTTCTTTATTCATATAAATTTTTATTTATAAAATATATGTTTTTAAGAAAAAAATGATAAAAAAATAACATATATTAAATTTAAAACTAAATCTATTGAATATTTTTCTGTATCATATTTGATAATGTCAAAAGTCTTGAAATAATTTAAACCTTAATCACTAATTTAAAATAATTACATAGAATAATAATAACAACAGTTAATAATCAAATATTTTCTTAAACTAATTATGAATTGTTAAATATTTCAGCATTGACTGAATAAGAATGTCTTAATTATATTAATAATTCTATTCATAAGAGAAAATTGAATGATTCATAAAAAAAGATGCTTATACAATCTTCTAATTGCATTCCTAAGCTTCTTCATATTTATATAGCTTAATTAAACAATCCAGATAATGTGCTTGAATAAACTGAAATAATATTGAAAAATTTTAATTAATCAAATAAATACAGCAGTCTAATAGAGTAAATATAAGATGATTTTTGTATAAAAATACTGAAATATATCTCATGGTTATATCCAAATAAAATTGAAATGCATTTAATATAATAATTACTATAAAATACTGAATCAAATTAAGAAAATACAATATAAAAAGGTTTAATAAAACTTTCAAAACTAGGATTTATTAGTATATTAGGAAATTAATGTATTATGATAGATACTGTTATCTAAGAGGAATGTAGAAGACTACAATAATCTTAAGAATATTTATTAGAAATCTTAAAATATTTTTACGAATGGTTACCTGATATTTAAACTGAAAAACATACTATAAATGCATAGGAAATAGCATAATATTATTATATACATGTAAAAGAAGTAATAACTCTTATAGAATAAAAACATCTATTTAAATATTTTTTAAATAACAATTTTGATCTATTTGAATATGCAACTATGATTACTTTAAAATTAAGTATTGTTTATCAGTTTTTAATTCATGATTATTAGTCTTGCTAAAAATATTTAGACCTTTTTGGCGAACAATATTATCAAGCTATGAAAACTATGAATTCCATTAATCTTTAAGCACTCACTATTGCTATAATCAACAATACTTAATTATATTTAACTATGAATAAAAAGTAAGAAGCACTTACAAATTCTGTTTTATTTTAAATTATTGAAACAGAAATATTTGAGATCTCACCTTTTCTTAAATCAAATATGTATAATTAACTAGCAATTTTATATTAGTAATATTAATAGTATGATCTATCTAATTAACAATTAGAGAAATCAAAGAAGATAAAATGTCTAAATTAAAGTGAAGATGATCTTAGAATTCAAAANTATCATATTTGATAATGTCAAAAGTCTTGAAATAATTTAAACCTTAATCACTAATTTAAAATAATTACATAGAATAATAATAACAACAGTTAATAATCAAATATTTTCTTAAACTAATTATGAATTGTTAAATATTTCAGCATTGACTGAATAAGAATGTCTTAATTATATTAATAATTCTATTCATAAGAGAAAATTGAATGATTCATAAAAAAAGATGCTTATACAATCTTCTAATTGCATTCCTAAGCTTCTTCATATTTATATAGCTTAATTAAACAATCCAGATAATGTGCTTGAATAAACTGAAATAATATTGAAAAATTTTAATTAATCAAATAAATACAGCAGTCTAATAGAGTAAATATAAGATGATTTTTGTATAAAAATACTGAAATATATCTCATGGTTATATCCAAATAAAATTGAAATGCATTTAATATAATAATTACTATAAAATACTGAATCAAATTAAGAAAATACAATATAAAAAGGTTTAATAAAACTTTCAAAACTAGGATTTATTAGTATATTAGGAAATTAATGTATTATGATAGATACTGTTATCTAAGAGGAATGTAGAAGACTACAATAATCTTAAGAATATTTATTAGAAATCTTAAAATATTTTTACGAATGGTTACCTGATATTTAAACTGAAAAACATACTATAAATGCATAGGAAATAGCATAATATTATTATATACATGTAAAAGAAGTAATAACTCTTATAGAATAAAAACATCTATTTAAATATTTTTTAAATAACAATTTTGATCTATTTGAATATGCAACTATGATTACTTTAAAATTAAGTATTGTTTATCAGTTTTTAATTCATGATTATTAGTCTTGCTAAAAATATTTAGACCTTTTTGGCGAACAATATTATCAAGCTATGAAAACTATGAATTCCATTAATCTTTAAGCACTCACTATTGCTATAATCAACAATACTTAATTATATTTAACTATGAATAAAAAGTAAGAAGCACTTACAAATTCTGTTTTATTTTAAATTATTGAAACAGAAATATTTGAGATCTCACCTTTTCTTAAATCAAATATGTATAATTAACTAGCAATTTTATATTAGTAATATTAATAGTATGATCTATCTAATTAACAATTAGAGAAATCAAAGAAGATAAAATGTCTAAATTAAAGTGAAGATGATCTTAGAATTCAAAAAATACTAATGATATAAGCAGAGAACTTTTTACTATAAAAATATTATAATTAAGCAATAAACCTATATTAAAAAGCTTTATAGCATTTGTAATTAATTGAAAATAATAATACTCTCAGAGAAGTTTCATTAATTAAAGCATAATTATATTATCAATTCGGCAGAATATATTTTAAATTAAAACAAGATTCTTAAGAAACTTAAAAATGTTTTGATGTAGCTATTAAAATTTGGTAAGAGAAACTTAAAAACATAGAATCCATTGAAATGGCTAATTTCTAATACAATATTGGATTAGTATTCAAATAAATGAAAAGATATGATGAATCTCTTAAAGCACTAGAAAATGCAGATTAATAAAAAAAGAAAATTATAGGAGAAGAAAAAAATGAATAATTTGCAGTAATATCTTATTAAAAAGGATTGATAATGATAGAAATGAAAAAAATAGATTAAGCAGAACAAGAGTTAATTAAAGCATAAAATATTATGTAAATATCAAATAATTTTAAATTAAAATCTAAAATTGATTTATAATTAGCACTAATAAATGAATAAAAAGGCTTAAAGTTTGAGTTTATCAAAGCCTTAGAAGAATTGATAAGCAAAAAGAGAAATCATTATGCATATATTCATCCTTCAATAAATAATGATATATTGAGTTTAGCTGATGCTTATGAGAAAATGTTTAAAGATACTGCAAAATAAACAGAACTTTATTAATTAATTTACTTCATAACTATTTTGCATGAAAGTTAAATTTAATGTTATCAACAAAAAAATCCAATTACTGATTAAATAGAGTAAGCCAAATTTTAAGCTAATTATAAATAAATTAATGCAAATTGGCTTAGAAAAAACAATTCATTAACTATTATAAAAAGGTTTTAACCAAATTTCTTTGAATTGGATTTATAAAGAACTTTGATATTAAGAAGTGGAATAATAACTAAAGAGGAATTTGAAATTAAATAAATTCTTCAAACATCAACTCTAAATTATATAAGATAATATACATTTGAAGGAAAATGGGAAAGAAGTATATTATCTGGGTTTACACTATACGGTGTCGAAAATTATATAAACAAAAAACATTTAAATAATTAACTTAGAGGAGAATTGAATAAAAATTAGAATTTAAAAATAGCATTGATGCTTTGTTTTGAAGCAATCAATATTGGAATAGTACAATCAAATTTTGAATACATTTCATTTGCTAATCGTTTTATTACCAAAATAATTCGATATCAATAAATGTAAAATTTCTTAGGAGATGTTATTTAATTACATCCTGAATATTTTATTGATGGAAAAATTCTAAAGTCTTTAGTAAACGATAATACTATCTTACAAGAAAATTTAGGAAATGAAGAGAAAAAAATTAGTTCTAATAAAATTATAAGTGATATTATATTCAACATGTGTTGAGATTGGTTTTTTGAATTTATTTCAAAGCTACAAAATTAAGTGTAAAATCCTAAATAATATCTCTTTATTATTTTTTTATGATACAATTTTTTCATTATTTTTTTAAATAGAGATAAATGAACAAGTATTTTGAATTTATATAATTTTCTTGATAATATATTTTTATATTAAATATCAACCAACTTTAATTTTTTTTAAATATTGTAAAATTAAAATTAATTATTTTTATAAGGCAAGTCGCAATACAAATTTAAATAAATATAATACTGAATTTGAGCTGAAATGCTTCAAAAATTGCTTTAAAATATTTTAGATATATTTTTATTCTGAATTACATCTAAGTTAAATCTATAATTAGACTTTTTTATAATATTAATCATTAAATTTTATATACAAAATTTTTGAATTATAATTATAGATACTTTTGAGTAGTATTAGAATGATTGCATATTTTATTTTTATATTATTATTTTATAGATAAACAAATGCTACTAAGAATACTTACAACAATACAAGTCTTGCTAATGCAAAATTTTGTTAAAGGTTAAAATCTTTTATCTATTTTTAGCTATGTTAGATGCCTCAAAAGATTCTACTAATGATGCTGTCGTAATTTTAGCAGTTTCTACTATTTTAGGAAAGGAAAACTCTATTCCTATAGGATCTTTAATGGGAGGTACAACATTATATATGAAAGTAAAAATATCAAATAATATTTTAGGTTCTAGGATTAGATTAAACTGCTAGTAATAATGCAGTATATGTTGGGAAATACCCTTGTATAATATCAGACAAAGGCGTTAATGGGCTATTTTTAAATTGTAAAACAACAAAATCTAATCCAAATGACCATAACTTATTAAACTTAAAAATTATGGTCAAGGTCTTAGATAAACCAGACTCTATTTGTACATTCAGTTACACATACTGCCATTTTTCTTATACTCCATAAAATACACCAAAATTATTTTATGTGACTCCAAGATCTAATTACCCTAGGATGTTTAGTTATTGGAGGGCTAAATGGGTTATATCTAGTAATGCAGTAGAGTACTTAGAAGGATAATTTATGGGTTCAAATAGATGTGACAGATTCTCCATTTAAGATCTGTATCCAAAGTAAATAAATTACTAGGATGATAAAGTAGTATGTTAGGTTTCAGCTGAGATTCAAGCAGGTTACTATGATTATACAATAAAATCATAGAATGGATATTAGATTAATTCTATAGGGTTAAAATAGAAAAAAGTATATTCTGACAGGATGTATAATTCAAAGTATTTATATAAAATATTAAAGAGTTGTTCCCATAATAACAGGACTTAATACTAATTTCGCATCACCTGAAGGACAAATTCTAGAGATTTTTGGATTTGGATTCAGTCCCTTAGCTCATTAACATAGAGTTAAGATTTCAGGTTAATCTGAAAGTATAGAAGTTTTATCTTCTACTCCAACAAGTATAAAAGTTAAGATACCTAAAATATAAAATTAATTAGAAAACTCTATATATATTTAAGGAAGTGGATTACATTATACAAGATGGAATATATCAGGTTTAAATTTTAATTGTGGATCCTTTAGATAATAGATTATTACTAATATGGCTTAATTAGATGGAAGAATTAAATTTGATGGGATATATCCTGAACCTGATGTTCAAAGTACATTTGGAGAATAATATGGATAATATTTTCGAGGTTTCTTAAAAGCCCCTTTTACAGGTGTTTATAGATTCTATATATCATCAGATAATTGTGCATAATTTTATATCTAAAAAACAGAAATATTTAAACCAATTAGGCCTGATAATCCAATAGCAGCTAGTAATTGGAATCCTTATAGAAATTATTGGTTTGAATCTTTAAGCTATACTTCTGCCATTAAATCAATATCATAACCTATTACTTTAGAAGCAGATAACTTTTATTACATTGAAGTTTATCATATTAATGAAATATCAGAAGGTCATTTGACATTATCGATGGAAATAGAAAGTGAGACTAGAAAATCTAATTCATTAAATAGTATTTATTAAATATAAACTACTTATACACCAATTAAAGAAGTGATAGAATTCACTCTTTATAATTAAAATGAAAATACTTTATTAAAAGGTAATTACAGACTTAGATTCACTTATGGAATCTAGAAAACTCCACAAATAGATACTTTTTATATCTATACTAGTAGTGAATTAACTGCTAGTTCAAGTGCTAATGCAATGAAAAATGCAATATAAAGTAGTGGTGCACCTTATTATATTACAGTAATAAGCACAAAATTGGATAATAATGGAAATACATTAGATGATACTGTAATATCTTTTGCTGGATATAAATATACAATAACTTTTGATTCTCATAGAGGATCTTAAATATATAGAGCACTTCCAAAGATTGTTTAATCAACACTTAATGGAGGTATTATTGGTTCAACAGTTGAATGTATTTAAGAACCAGCTGATCCAATTAGTGGATCATTTCAATTATCAATGATAATTAATGGATAAGAAACTTTATTTTAAGTAACAGATAATGACTATGATTTGAAATTTGATGTATCAACAACAATAATATCAAATAATATTGAAAAATTGACAGGTTAATCACCTTTTGTTTGGACAGTTGGATAACCATAAGATGGATAGAAATGGTTTATTGTATTTAGAACTTATTTTGAAGGTCTTGATGATTTTAGAGTATCAAATAATTTATTAGTATCCGGTAATGGAGATGTATCTATATCATTAACCAAAGTATAGCCAGATAGTAATAATATATTATTTGAACCTATTCCTAATGAATTATTATTTACTTATAGTTAAAATCCTTAAATATAAGTTGAAGTTCAATATTAATTGGTAGATGAAAGTAATGGTAATATAATTGAAAATGAATTCATTTTAGCTGGATGTTAAAAGTAATCAATTTGTGATTTAACCTTGAGTGATCAAAAAACACCAACTTTAAAATCATATTCAATAAGTGGATCTCTCTTATCCTTATCATTATAAGAAGGAGTTGATTTAACAATAACAACAATAAATATAGATATTGAATATGCAGGAGCAGATTGTACTAATATTTAAATAATTAATTATGCATCTCCATACACTATAACTTGTAATTTAGAATAATTAAATGGATTAAATATTAAAGAAGCAGGAGAAAAGTAAATACCAATTATTCACCATAAAGATATTGGTTTTTCTAAAATAGATTAAAGTATAATAGGTGAAAATGTTGATCTTTACATATCTTCAATTTAACCTAATTTTGCCTCTTCAGATGGAGGTACAACAATCACAATTAATGGTAAGGGCTTCCCTAAAAATTTAAATAGAGATTTTATATTTTAAATTGATAATTAAAATATTAAACCATTATCAATTTCAAATACTTAATTAATATTTATAGCTCCAAAATAAATAAGTGGAGGAATTGGATCCATATAACTTTAATTTAATTCAAAAATAGCTAAAGGTTTATTTACTTATGATGAATCATTAAGAATTCAAGTAACAAGTTTATAATTTTATTAAAAATCACCAGTATTTAAAGGTGAAATGACAATTACAGGAGTCAATTTTGGTAATATCATAGAAGATATTAAAGTTACATTAATTGGAAATAAATCTTATAATGCAAAAGTATTATCAATTACTGATACATAAATTAAAGTCTATTTAAGAGGAGGAATGCCTGGTAAATATAGAATTATTGTTACAAGAAATAATTATGGTGATTCATATGCAAATAATGATGATAATTTATTTTAATATATAATCCCAATAAATAGTGTAACTTTAGAAGATGGAATTAGTTAAGCAAAAGGTTCTGAAGCAGGAGGTACAATTATTAAAATTACTGGATCAAATTTTGTATAAGGATAAACTCTTGTATTTATTGGAAGAGCTGTTAATTGGATATGTGAAATAGATGAAACTAGATTTACAAGTGAAATAATCTATTGCAGAGTTCCAGCTAAAAATGAATTTTATACTTAAGAACCATAATTAGTAATAGTTACATTATAAATAACACTTGAATCAACTTGTTTAGATAATACTAATAATTGTTAATTTACATATGATAATCAATTAACTCCTAAACTTGATTCATATCCTGAATCAGTTACTTAATATACAGGATCTAGAATATTAACAGAAGAAGATCATTCAAAACCTGATTATTAAAAGTTAATATAAAGGAAAAGATTCTTATGGACAGATGAATCAAAAGAAAAAGGTAATAATCACATTTTACATGTTGGTAAATCTTCAAGGAGAGATATGCTCACATCAACAGAATTAGTTTTGAATTAATAAAAAACTTATAAACCTGGTGATATAGAAACATTATCAGGAATAGGATTAACATCTACTGTCTCAGTTGTATTTAAAGGTCCTATAACATAAACAGTTACAACTAATTTAATTGATAATACTTTTACTTATACAATTCCAAATCTACCTTAAGGATATTATACTACTTACATATTAACATAAAATGGCTATGCTGATAAAATATGGATTAGTATAATAGAATTAAGTATTACAACAATTGACAATGCTGCTATAGGAGGATAAATATTAACAATAAATGGTATAGGTTTTAATGCTAATCAACATCCAAATGTAAAGATTGGATCAACAATATGTACTGAATTATAAGTAATATCCAGTGTATAAATTAAATGTAGAATGACAAGATAATCAGGAACTTCAGCAATTGTAACTTTAACTTAATTACCTTCTGAAAACAATTCAGCTACTCCTTATACTGTTGAATTTACTTTAACTATTAAATCTTAATAAAATTCTCCTGTTATCACATCTATAAATGGTGTTGTTTACAATAATAATAAAAAAGCTAATGTAGTTTAGACTGGTAATCTAGTACTTGTATTTAGCGGAAGTATGTTAAGGGGTAGTAGTGTTTTAGTAATATTGGAATACATGAGTAATAAAATTAGCGGAGTAGTATCAGAACTATCAGATACAGCAGTAACTTCTACATTTACAGATATACCAGCAGGAGTTTATTCAATTAATATTATAATCGATAATAATTATGGGTATTTTATTGATTTAACGTAATAAACACTCATAGTAAATACAGATATTCCTGTTTCAAATAATCCAACTATTTCTTATGTAGGTGGAGCTATAATTACATTTACTGGTAAAGGATTTGATTAAAATACTCATTTCACTTCTGTATCATTATGTGGATTCAATTGTCCAATTACTTAAGCATCATATACTACTCTTTCATGTGAAACTCCTAAATTATTAACAAAATCAGTTTTTAATCAATACTCACGACTCCAAGAACCTCCTAGATACATAAAACCATCTGAAGTATTATTATTTACTGATAGTGGATCTTCTATTTCCTCATTTTTTGATCTATAATAATCAACATATTATAGTTCTTCTAGTGCATCTAATTGTTTTATAGAAGTTGACTTTGGTAAGAGTAGAGTATTAAAACTACATTAATTAAGATATCTTCCAAGAATAGACATCTAGGCAATCATATTAAAAGGTTCTGTATTCCAATATACAACAGATGGTATACTTTGGTAAACTATATTAACAGTGGATTAAACTGTTCATACAGGTTGGAATATTTATGTTCCTCCTGTTGATATTTCAGATATTAAAGCAATCAGATTATTTGACTCATAAGGTGTAACTGGATCATCTTGTTAATTAGCAGAAATAGAATTGAAAGGTTGGGTTTTATCAAATAGTAATAATGATTACATAATTCCAACACTATGTGATGCTGATATTATAATAAATGGATATGAAATAGATACAATATCTGGATAAGCCATCTATTCTTCAAGTAGTGTTCCAATTGTAAATACTGTTGATCCTTAATCTGGAAGATTTAGTGAAGAAGCAGTCATAACAATATCTGGTACAGGATTTATAAATGGTTAAACTACAGTTTCTATTGATGGAGTTAGTTGTAATATTTAAAGTGTTTCTGAGACTTAAATTATATGCTAAACTGGTATCAAAGATTTAGATTAAACTTAATTAAATGGTATATTTTAAGTTAGAGTTAATGGAAACTTGGCTGTCAATAATTAATAATTTATATATGCTACAAAATGGTCTGATATTAATACTTGGGGAGGATATGAATATCCTGGAGATGGAGATTCAGTTATTGTTAATGCAGGATAAACATTAATTGTAGATGTTTAAACACCTAAATTAATGTAAGTTTTAGTAGAAGGCACATTGACATTCTCTGATGATTTAGATACATCAATGGATGCACATTACATTATTATAAGAGAAGGAAAATTCAATATAGGTACTGATTCAATAGCACATTAACATAAAGTATAAATTACTTTACATGGTAATGAAGAAGATGTATAAATGCCAGAAATGGGTAATAAAGTGTTAGGATGTCACTAATGTCAATTAACTATTCACGGAAAAGAGAGAATACCAACATGGACATTATTATCTACTACAGTTTAAGCTGGAGCTACTCAAATTAAAGTAGATGATTAAGTAGATTGGTAAATTGGAGAATAAATTATAATAACTTCTAGTGAAGTTTAACATTTATAAAGTGAAAAAAGATATATTACTGCAATTAGTGAAGATAAAAAGACTTTACATCTAGATTCACCACTTTAATATAAACATTATTCTGAAGTAGAAACATTTGGGGATGAATAATTTCCTATGAAAGTTGAAGTTGCATTATTAACTAGGAATATTGTTATTCAAGGTGAATAATCACCATTAAAGCATGGATATCATTTAATGATTCATGGAAGAGCTGAAAAAGGAACTGTTGGTAAAATATCCTATGCAGAATTCAAATATGGTGGATAACCAAGAATTATTGGAAGATATCCTATTCATTTTCATTTAAATGGTGAAGTAGATGACTCTTATGTTTTTGGTAACTCTATTCATGATTGTTATGCTCGTTGTTTGACTATTCATGGTGTACATTATTTAAAAGTTTAAAAAAATGTATGTTATAATACATTTGGACATGCAATATTTTTAGAAGATGGTATTGAAACTAATAACATTATTGAAGATAATTTAGTTACAAATACAAAATAGAGTTGGATCATGTTATAAACAGATATATCTGTATCTACTTATTGGATTACAAATCCTTAAAATATATTAAGAAGAAATAGATCAGGTGGATCTGAATGGTACGGATTTTGGTATGAAATCAAAACTAATCCAGATGGACCATCAGCTACTTCAGATATATGTCCACCAGGTCTAAATATACTTGAATTTAAAGATAATTGGTCACACTCAAATGGAAAGTTTGGTCTACGTATATTCTAAATGGCTCCAAGACAATTTCCTTGTAGAGATATTGCTAATTGGGCTAATAGTTAACCATATATTGATAATCCAAGTCTTTAAGCAGTATTTGAAACATTCAGAACATGGAAGAATGATGAATGTGGTATATTAGCAGAAGAATTGGGTAATATCTATTTCAAAGATATAATGATAGCAGATTCTAGATTTGCTGGTTTTTAATCTCATAAAACTAATTATTCATATGAAGGAGCTGTATTAGATAATGCATTGATTATTGGAAAATCAAATAATAATGCATAACCAGATGCTTATTATAAAGGATCAAGAGCGATTGTTGTACCAAGAACAAATGGATTCTTAGCTAAAAATATTAGAATGTATAATTTTGGAAGTTATTCTGCTTTGATTGAATCATGTTCTACATGTTGGCATGATTTAATGTGGGTTTAAGGTGGTAAGAATACTCATTTCATCAATATTAAAGCATATAATTCTGATTCAGCTAATAGAATCTATTGGTAGAAACATAGAAGAGAAATATTCTGGGATTTAGATGGTTCATTCACCAATGTAGATGGAGGTGCATATATAATTCCATATAAGAAACATATTGATGGTATTCCTGGATGTGTGATTCATTTAGAAGATTACTGGGACAATTCAATCATTTGTGCTATGAATTAAGTTACAATTAGAGATGTATTAGTTAATAATCCAATGCCAGAATATGATTTTCAAGGAGTTGATATGAAACTTTATAGATTAGATAGCACTAATTTAGCAGTTAAAATGGATCCTTTGATTAATGAAAACAAATATATTGAAGCTGAAACTATGAAACCAATGAAGAATCTTGATGGAGCTTCATCATTTGTAAGTGTATTTGCTACTGGATTTATATATAATGTTCATTTTAAATTTGGAGCCAGCGATCCATTAAGTATGGGAATATTTGCATCACCATATTTCACAGAAACGGATAAGGCAGTTATACTTAGATTTAACTATTCTTCTAATAGAGAAACATTTGATATAATGAGACATATTGATAAGACATTCCCAATTACTTACACTCAATTGTAATCTATTCCAGATACAAATTTGTGTAATTAAGGTGATTGGTTTAATGATAGATCTAATAAATTGTTTTTCCTTTGTTTATCGGGTAAAAATAAGAAAAAATATGAATATGTTGAAGTTAGAGGAGTTATTTGTAGAAAAGAATGTGATAGCTTAGGAGATGTGCCATAAGAGAGCGAATATAGGTATTGGAGTAATCCAGCTACTTGGATTGATAATAAAGTTCCAGTTGATGGAGATAGTCCAATAATATAAGCTGGATATTAAGTTATGTTGGATGTTGATACACCAAAATTAATAAATCTGACTATTTTGGGAACATTGATGTTTGATGATAAAAGACTATCAACTAAATTAGAGGCAGAAAGAATTTGGGTTAGATCTGGTAAATTGTTGGCCGGTAATGCTACATATCCATTCCCTGGAAAAATAAATATCATTTTGAATGGAGAGTTTGGAGATAGTCCATTAGTCATTGATTCTAATTTGGATGTTGGCAATAAAGTATTGGCGGTCACAAAAGCAATGGAATTATATTCGACTCCACCAGGAACAGTATGGACTAGATTGACAGTATATGCTAATGCTGGAACAACAATAATTACAGTTTAATAATGTATTGATTGGATAATTGGTGATGAAATTGTATTTGGTCCATCAGGAACAGATCCAGATTAAAGAGAAAAAAGAATAATATCAGCTATTTCAGGATGTGTTATTACTTTAGATAAAGCATTAGAATTTGATCATTATGGATCACCATCAGTTACAGTAGATAAACCAGGTATTGGTTAATTAGATATGAGATCACTTGTTGGTCATCTTACTAGAAAAATAAAGATTGAAGGTGGTCCAAGTATACATGGTTTGGGATGTAGAGTCTTAATTTATTAATTTGAAGAACCTGAAGCTAATCTTGGATTTCCAAGAAGAGGATATACTATATTACATGGAGTTGAATTTAATAATTGTGGTTAATATGATACATCAAGAAGTGGATTAGATTTTAGAAATTTGAATAGCGAAATTATTAAAACTCCAAGTGAAGTTATTGGATGTTCATTTCATGATACTACAGGTATGTTAATGACAATTCAAAGTTCTTAATATATAATTGTTAAAAATAATATATTTTTTACTGGTATTAAGGCTTTAGTTTAAATTAATGACAGTTAATTTGTCAAATTTTAAAATAATGCTTTGATATATGTGAAAAAAAGAGTCATCTAATAGGAAAGTAAGTTTAATTGGGCTGTATTAGGTAACTTTATATATATGGATGGAACTTAAATGATAAGAGATATTGTTGACATTTCTGGTAATGTTGGACAAGGATCATAAGATACAGGTTTTTTTGTTATGGGTACTAAATGTGAAGACGCATAGAAATCTTCACTATACAATAATCATTGCTCATCATCAATATTGGCATGCTTTGCAATTAGATAGGCTTCTAAAAATTGTACTTACTCATAAGGATTAATTGCTTATCATAGTGAAGTAGGTATCATGTATGCAGTATAAAGTGAAAATGTTTAACTAGATAACTCAATAGTGGCTGAAAATAAGAGAGGCATGGCATTATAATTAGGATCATGGAATTTTTATGAAAATAACATAAAGCTTACTAATATCTTCATCTCTGCCCTTGCTAGACCTGATTGTATCAAATGTTATCAAGCATCTTAAAACCCTAATTGTAATAGCATCATAGGTGTTTAGATGGGAAGTGTAACTCTAACAGCATTCCCTCCTATCGATACAGGACCATCATCAGAATATGATATTATTTGTAAACCATAGAAAATTGATCTCAAAGTCTACATGAATAATATAGAGTTCAATAATTTTAGACTTTCTTATGAAAATATACCTCAATGTGGTTTAAATGCGGCCTTTAGGTAACATCCTGGAGCACATGATATGTTAGGTCAGCATTACTTAGCAAATTCATAATGTACTAATTGTGAATTTAATGCTCTTTTGTATAAAACATTAAATCCAAATATTCACACACTTGGATGGTTTGGAGGATGTGGTACATTTGAATGTCCTGGATTGATCAATTTTTTAATAGAAGATTAAACTGGACATTTCTTTGGAAAAGTTAGCCAAGCTATTGGAAACAATACATACATAGGTCCAAATGTTACTTATTGTACAAGATAGGAAGCATGGAATGGATATTGGTGTCTTGGTCGTTAAATAACTACTGTGGGATTCATGAGTGTAGCCCCAGATTATAATAAAAGATTATATTCACCCATTAAATTAGATGATGGAAAGTTCTTTAATGAAATTAACAGTTAAATGGAATGGCATTGGTCAGGAGCAGAACCTAAAAATTTAAGAGAATCAAAATTTGTTGCTTTGATACCCTCAAATACTATTGTAAATATGAGTAATGCTGGAATGAATCCAACTGCATCAGAATATCAGTTATCTAAAAGATATGAATCAGGTAGTCCAGAAGATTTTGTAATTTTGAAATGGCAATTTTAAGTACCTTAAGTTATTTAAGTCTCAGTTGGTAGAAAAGTTATTTTGCCTGGAATGACTACTAAATCTTAACACCATAATCTAATGGATATGACAGATTAATGTGGAGCAAATAATTATTTTTATTAAAATAATACAATTCATTTTGTAATCAATGGTTAAATAGGATGTAAAGTTAAAATTACTTTAAAAAACACACTTTAGATATCAACAAGGCTTGAAGTCACATCTGAACAATTCTTTGGAGATAAATTTTTACAATATGCTATCGCATAACTAGGAGGGGATCCCTTTAATTATTTTATTATTGGTATAAAAAAATCTTCTAGAAGATTTTTGGATGAAACAATAAGCCACTAAGTAACTGTAGATTGGACAATAGTAGACAATGTTGAAATCGGATCCTCTGATTCTAACTATTCATACCAATATTTAGAAGACTTTGCAACTAAATTAGAATTTTTTAACCCTCCTCCTTATATTGGTACAGTTTTAGAATAATCAACTACCATCAACATTTTGAGAAATTTAACATTCCCATCTACTGAACCTACATCATGTATTTTTATCTAGTTTTATTATTTAGAAACCTTATAAACACCAGAAGCTACAAATACAAATCCTGGAAATACTGATTTCAATAAAAATAATGAAAATAATTAAGGATCAATTAATGATAATTAGCATAATGATACGGAAATTGCATTAACTTAAGATGAACCAATTTATTAATAATAAAATAATGAGAACACTTATAATAACACAACAGGAACCATTCAAAAATCCATTAAATAAACTGAAACTTCATCAAACACAGTTGAAATTGTAGTCTCAGTAATTTGTTCTGTAGTTGGAGTCTCTATAATTATTGCTGCTTTGATATATTACAAGAAGATTAAATTAGCTAAATTAATTGCAAATAGAAATTAAAAAGTGGATAATGAATTTTTCAAAGTTAACCTCACAGAGTAAAACCATCAGTAACAAATGGATTGATAATTAAAAAATTAATATTTAAAATATTTTTTTAATTTATTCTCTTAATTTTTACTGATAAATGAATAAAAGATGTATATGATATTTTAAAATAATTTTAATAAGGATATCAAATGATAATTTAAGAAAACAATAAAATATATGATAGTTATTAGGATGATAATAACTTGATATCAATTAAATCCTTTTATAAAATTAAGAATGTCGCACTTTGATAAATCATTTTCAAATTATTAATATATCATTTATAATGTTATTTCACATAAATAATTTGATATAATCTTAAAATATTATTATAATATTGCTAAATCTTGAAATATTATTAAAATATTTCTAAATATATAAATAACATAAATGGTATATGAAATGTTAAAAAAATTTATTAGTGAAAAAAATACTTAGATTTATTTATAAATGAATATTAATACTTAAAAATATTAATTTGAAAAACTGTTTTGTTAAAGTAAAAAATATTTATATATGAAAAATAATATTAACAAATATTAATTTGAATATTTTTAGGTAAAATTAAATATTTATAAATGAATATTAATACTTAAAAATATTAATTTGAATACTTTTAGGTTAAATTAAAATATTTATTTATGAATAATAATATTTACAAATATTAATTAGAATAGGGGTTGGGGTTGGGGTTGGGGTTGGGGTTGGGGTTGGGGTTGGGGTTGGGGTTGGGGTTGGGGTTGGGGTTGGGGTTGGGGTTGGGGTTGGGGTTGGGGTTGGGGTTGGGGTTGGGGTTGGGGTTGGGGTTGGGGTTGGGGTTGGGGTTGGGGTTGGGGTTGGGGTTGGGGTTGGGGTTGGGGTTGGGGTTGGGGTTGGGGTTGGGGTTGGGGTTGGGGTTGGGGTTGGGGTTGGGGTTGGGGTTGGGGTTGGGGTTGGGGTTGGGGTTGGGGTTGGGGTTGGGGTTGGGGTTGGGGTTGGGGTTGGGGTTGGGGTTGGGGTTGGGGTTGGGGTTGGGGTTGGGGTTGGGGTTGGGGTTG